TTTCTTTTCCAGTTCTAGCACACGTTCAAGATTTCGGAGTTATTCTGGCGGTTGCAGTTCTAATCGGTGCTGGAAAAGCTTTGCGGACAATTTTTATGGCTCTCGTCATCCCGACTCACGTTCCCTTATCAAGATTACCAGGTGCGACCGGTATTCAACTTCTAACTAGCGGCATTATTTCATTAACGTTAGGACCAGTTGTCGGTTGGATTCGAGATATAACTGCAAATTACGCAATTATGCTACACTGCTTGAATATTTTCACGTACTTAACCGTAATTTCGTGGTCGCTCGAAATCTGTTTTACCAAACGAGAAGCGAAGAAGATAGCAGAAGAGGAATCGAACAAATTGAAAGCTTAAATCTTTACACGATTTTTCTAATAAAATTAACAAATAAATAAATAAGAATTTTATATTTGTCTGGAATAAAAATTTTCTTTATAACAGTGTTTCTTTTTTTTTTACTTCTATTAAGTATACACATTTAAGTATTAAAAAATATGAATATTAAAAAATATTATGGACACGATCTATCTACTGATTATTTTTTTACCATTTTATTGAAAAGCAATCATCATGTGAAATGATCATGATACAAGTACTTACGTGTTATCTTCGCGTTAGAATTTTAGTTAACATTGAAGCTATCCTAATCTTATTATCTGAACCGGATCGTTGCGTAATTGAACCATTACTTGCGTTATTTATACAAATTCATCTATCACCAACGATAAATTATATTGTAACAATAATATTTATCCGTAAATATGGAGTTAATAAAAATTTATTTTCCTCATTTTCTTATTCATCAATCTCTCAAATTCTTCCTATTAATCAATCACAATTTGCAATAAATAAATTTGCAAATATGCCATGCAAAAAGTAGCAAATAAGTTACGCAAAATAAACATGACAATAATTAAAAAAAATATATTAAGACTTTCTACGTTTCAATTAACAATGCACTTTTCACATGTTAATTATTAACAAAAATTTCTTATTTTCTATTTCAAGGTAAAAAGTTTTATTATCAGGATTAAATTCTTTTTTACATTTTTCCTTCCAAATCTGATAATACGAATTGACACTATATAATTACAGCGCCCTATAATACCTACACTTGTGCAATTTGGAACAAAGTTGCAAGCTCTGAATAACAACAGTTTCGTTATAATTATCACAACTTCTTTTATAATACGAGATAGTGATAAGACATCGTAAAAGACAAAGGTGCAGATTAGATTAAGCATCACGTAGCTTTACGTTTAGGAAATGTAATGATTATTCAGTTTACGTGGGTACTTCGTAACACATCAAATTAACACATCGGTCGAAACACACGATTCTCTATTATTTATTAAAACATAAACATTTATTAAAACATAACATAAACATTTACAACGAGTATCGTAATTTACGATTTATAAATTCTGTGTTGAAAATTAATGACAATGTGATAATTGAAGATCAAGAAAAATTAAGCAAGTTGATATTCTAACAGCGTCGCATGCTGATTCTCTTAAGTATCTCCATTATTTCAATTAACAAGTGAAAGCATTATTCGCAAAAATTGCGCGGTTGCAAGAAAAAGAGGCGATCAGGGGATCACTTCTGTTCTTTTTAAGTGGAACGTCCCATCTTTTACAGTGAAATTTGATGTAATAGTGAAAAATAGTGAGAAACAGGTTATTTATACAATTGTTGAAAGAAATTACTGGACAGTAATATTATTTTTCATTTAAGATTGAAAAAATAAAAATAGCGTAATTTCGAAGAAATTATCATAATATTATATTGTGGTGTGATGTGATAAATATTTGTATTGATACAACTAAAAGGGAAACATGAGTACGCAAGAAAGTACTAAGGTGCCTCCTGATGGAAAATGGGGTTGGATGATTGTCCTGGCGTATGCAATAAACGGGGTATGTGAAATGGCAGACAGAAAATTGTTATACGTCGTTCAAAATGAGAGTAACCTCGCTCTCGGACCGATTCTCGTCCGTTCTGCGCATAGACAGAGGGCGTAGCAGAAGGTAAGACGAAGAAAAACGTAGGTGGTTAAGTGGGGGTTTGGACGTTCTAGTGGTTCGAGCCCTGCCTTAGGCACGTCCCACGCGCGAAGCGAGGTTACTCTCATTTTGAACAGAGTATATCAAGTACTTATGCTTATTAATCGTTATTAAAAAAAACATTTTTCTCATTATTTATGTGTATCTAGGTATGATAATTTCATATCGCGTTTCATTCATCTTCTTCGCGTGGAAAATTGTTTATTAGATTACTATGCGTATTATCTATCTCGCGGAAACTGATATTGTAAATTCTAAACGTTTTTGAATGGACTTCATATCGAACTGATAGCATAACGATATCATATGTATAATTTTTGTTTTCGTTAGCTTAATTGATTAGTTTATAATTGCCTGTGTAATTCCTTTCGTAAGTAGGAATGACTTAAGGATAATTAACGGAACTAAATATTGTTCTCAGGTGTCCACACTTTCGGTTTTGCAAGGATTTGTGTTAGTATTTAAAGACACTTTCCCGCTTTTTGGGTTCAATGCCACACAGGGAGCAATTATTATAAATACAAATTTGGCTTTTGGTATGATACTTGGATTGATAAACGGTCCGTTGTTACGATGTTTTGGATACAGAAAAATGGCTATGATCGGTAGCCTGATGTATAGCATCGGAGTAACTGCGACAGCGTTCGTTACATCTTTTACGCTTATAATGCTTTTCTACGGTATATTTGCCTGTAAGTAAAATTCTATCGTGTTTTAATACGTAGAAGTAAGATTCGGTGTGTGTTTGTTGGAAATACAGTCGAACCTTGATAACTCGAAAACCTCTGTAAGACTATAATTTTGTTCGTTCCTTTTCGCTCCGTTGTGAAAATCTCTATAAGACGAAACGAAACTTATATACTTTAACTCGAATTATTCGCCGCATGTCCAGATGCATTATTTTACCTCTCTAATTCGAGTTTAGAATAGCCAAACCTCTACAAGTCGAAGTTCACCTCTGTAAATCATAAATATAATAAATAATTCACGTTCAAAAATTGAATTTTTCTTTCTTCAAGCCGTTACAATTGGAAAATTATTATCCTTCGTACAAAGTTTCTCTACATCGATTTTTCGTTTATTAAATCTTTTTTACTGAAAAATTTCGACAAGTCCAAATCTCTAGAACTCGAAGATTTTAGCTCTTCCCTTGAGGTTCGAGTTACCGAGGTTCGACTGTATTAATTTCGTTTCGCGATGGTGCTTCTGGGGGGAAGTCCCGCGCTGTCCTTCGCGGTCCTCGTACTAGATGGCGCTCTCGTCGTCCTAGGAAGAATGTTCCCATTCCTACAGCGACGAAATGTCAGGTTGCTTGTTTTCCCTAAACTTTCTCATGTCTTCTTCCAAACAATCACTCCTATGATACTCGGTAGAATACGTGATTTCGAGTTACTATTAAATAGCTAAGACCACACGCATCCCCCTGCCATAAATCGTACGAAAGCATAATAACGTCGGGTTAATTGCTTTCGAGGACCTTTACAAATATGTTATTTAAAATTTTATTTGTATATTGTATAATTTTTATGATTTTCTAGCTTATATATTATCTTTCATGTTACTATACTCTATGGCTCATATATTTTTAAGTTCCAAAATTGTCTATATTTTTTTGACAAAATTAATTTCAACTACTGTATGCGAAGTTATCGTATGAATTCTATTCAATCGGAAGTATATTATGTTAATGAAATTAATTTATATGTATATTGAAATTTTAGAGATTAAAATTTTTCGAAATTTTCAAACGTTTCCAAGTTTTTATGTCGCATAATATAGTTACATTTGTATCAATTACAAAATGGTACTTTTCTATACAGCATTGGGTACCTGCATAACAACGTCTGCCTTTTCATACGCATTGAATTCCTATTTCACGTCGAAAAGGAGTCGTGCAATGTCCTTAGCGGTAACACTTATTGGATTGGGCCCTATAATTGTACCTCAAGTGACGACGTTCCTAATTTCATATTACGGATTTCAGGTACTCTTCCTTTACGTACTGTATATCATTGAAAGAAATTATATTAAGTAATGATACAAATTGAAAATGATTACTATTTCACTGTTGTTTATATTGTTTCATTGTCATAGAAAATATTATTAATAATGAACCCTTTGCTGTGATCAGAGATTGTTGTTAGTACAACAATTTATTACAATTTATTAAGTAATTCAATTAGAAGTATCCTGTTTAAGAAAGTCGTTAATTTTTGCAGAAGAAATATATCACAAATTAAATTGAATACTCTTATTTCTTTGCATTTCTACATTTTATGTTGTCAGGGTACAATACTATTATATGGGGCTTTCAGTTTACATTCATTAGTGGGCAGTATGTTACTGCATCCACTTAAATGGCACACTAAAGATGCAATAGAAACAAAAGTTGGAAACGAAGAATCGTTGAAAAATGAAAAAGGTAAGAATTTTAATTTCGTTAGAAATTGTATGAAAAATATTTTTTCTGCGGAAAGTA